GGTCGGACTACTTTTGGTTTTTCAGGCGTTTCTGATGTCGGATGTGTATTTGGCTACTTTTCTTGGCTAACAAGGTGTCTACTCACCCAGTTCTCTATCTATCGCCTATTTTCAACAGTTCACAAATCTACGGCAGTGAATTCGTCCAATTAGTGGAAAACACAACTTCGGTAGGCGTTCGTTTTTTTCGCGCGTGAAATCCTACAGTAGTAGTGCACTCAGTACTGTATCAGACTCGATGCTTCTATTAATGGAGAATTCAGATGAAAAGCAACACTCATTTCAAATTAACCTAGGGATGGTGAGTGGTACACGAAAGAAGGAAGAACCATGAGAAACGGCCCAGAACCCGAGAAATGGTACCCCTTCCTTGCCCGTTGATTCGAGCATTGATGCGACTCTCATCGCTGTGCCCTCTTCAACACTACGCTCTCTCAGCTATCTAATCACTCGCCACGTATTGAACTACGGCGAGTGATCAGATGATCGGTGGGCGGAGATCGCCGGACCCGCCAGCTTTGAGGCATGATAGGTCGCCGAGGTCAAATTTTTCCATGCGAATTGCGCGTCAGTTCGCACCCTCAGGAGGTCCGTGGGTCCCTCAACTAGGTCAGTTTCCCTTTCTTCGACCTTCATTCTAATCGTGAATTCCTCCTTTAAAGGAGAAGAGAGCAATAATCTGTTCTACGGAAGTTTTTCAGAAACTCGTCGATCCTTCAAAGTTTATTTCTGTGCGTGAAAATGATTGGCGTGACGACCATGATAGCAGAATGATTATTTGGTCTCGTGACTCTAAATATAGTCTGGATTTCGGGAAAATATTACCTCAAAGCAGGATCCAGCCGGTAATAGTCGTCTCGCATTCTATTAGGTTGTAAGCAAAGTTTTTGCCGTTTTTGATAGCCTACATTCTATGCATTATTCTGATTAAATTTCTGGCAGACTTGTGCGTTGTACATTGTTAGAAAGTGCATCGTTTGCTCAATCCGATGGTGCTTGCCATCATGCCTTCAGGAGGTGACTGCCGCCCAGTATTCAACCTCAAATATGCACATGGTCATGACGCGTCTCACGAATTTATTCTTCTGACCCTTAATCGACTGTACTAAAACTCATGGAATCAGCTGCAATGTATAATAAGCTGTTTGTTTTGTAACTATTTTGCGAAACATGCGCTGTGAAGCCATAGTTCGAAAAGCTTCTGTAGGGATGGCGAGAAGGCGGCGAGGATGGCCGTTGGATTTCGAATATTAGTGAAAACTATCTCAAAGAGTTGATAAGACCAAATGTGAAAGATTTAGAAGGAACTCTGTTGAATTAGGCCCTGACTGATTTGATGGTTCCGACCTACATGAGGATAGGTTGAATAGTCGAGAAAAGTACGATGGAGATGGCCGCCAAGCAATCGCCTATTTATGAGCCTCTGCCCTTCTGCCACCTTTTCAATCCAGCATCACACCTAACCGTTTTCGATGTAAACTTCAATGTGTAAGGATTCTTCTCGATCACGACCTAAGGATCAACAAAACTCGCCCCACGACGAAGCGCCCGAAGAGAAGTTGCAAATGCTTTTACGCATCTGAGCAAGCTGCAGCTCTTCGAGCACAGGCCTCCCTACATAACCGCGGTGCACAATAGATTGCACCCCATAGAAAACCTAATTTTCTTGAGAGCCGAAACTTTTGTTGCTTCTGCCTACACTATAGTTTAGAAATAGACGAAGGAATAATATCTGTGATATTTATTTGACATTACGACTTTTGTCAAAGTTCGTGACAACAATTTTTCACTTTTTGAGCCGGTGCATAATAGATTGGACGATATGTATTGTGGATCAAAAAACAAGACGTAAAGTCTGCTCCTCCCATCTAAGTATGAGCAAAGGGTCCTTTCTTCTCTGTGAGCTTAGGGCTGGAATCAGATTTTAAATCAGCGCATTCTAAGCAGCAGAGGCGGTAGAGTTTTCCACTCCTTTGTAATGCCTTTTCTTAGCGGTTGAACATTGTCATACGCTGTCCCATTTCAGTAGATCTTACGCATCAGTATACCCTATGTATTCCCGATAGGTTTGTATCAGGATTACATGCCGGCGAAGAAAATAATGGGTTGGTATTAGATTGAAAGTGGGACAGAGTGCTTCACGAAGTTAGGTTCGAAGTGTTCTTTTGCCCGAAGATGAAGTGCTTTTTGAAGTCTCAAGAAACGAAAGGTACCAGCGTGTTGTTGAGGAGTGACTGATAGTTCTGGCTTCTCATTCACAAGAATCAAAATGAATCTCAAGGCTACCATCACTAGAGGATGCCCACCAAACCATTCAGGAGAATGCACAGATGTTGCTTCGAGCACCAGTACTGGTTCACTTCTGCAAGAGCGCCAGTTCGAGTGCCGTTAACACTACTCACCTCCGCCGAACAAAATGTCATCGAAAGAAATTACCGTAGGAAAAATAGAAATGAGAAATTTAAATTTAACATAAAGCTGGAAATATGCCCAGAACACTCCGCTGCCCAATCTCTGCAATCCTCATCCTCGCAAGAGGGAGCCGCTTATGTCGATGGATATTGAGTCAGGCGTAGTGTTGGCTTTATTTATTGTCGAACTATGTGGTCCGATATTTTCAACATACGAGACACGGTCCATTTCGAAACGACAATCCCGCAAGCGACAGCCCATTCATAGGCAACCTTTGTGGAACAACAAAAAACTTCCAAAATGCCAAATTAATCAAGCAGCGCCTGCCGCACTCGGGAACAGTTGACTTCCAAACCATCTTGTTCTCAAGAACAGTTTAAGAATGATTCTTGATCACAGTTGCAACTGCATTCCTAGGAATGGAGGGTTCTTTAGAGATTTGGAGACTTCCCTTGCCAAGAAGAAGTAACGCTTCAGTGCGAATCCAGGCTTCGTTTATGAAACGCGTATACTTCACATAATACGTGAGTACATTCGAACTTAAAAAGCAGGAAAAAGGTCGTTGGAAAAATTGAATATCTCAAGTCGTCCAATCTATTGTGCACCGCCAAAAAAATCAATGTTTCACTCTAAAAATTTTCTAGATGACTCCATAGAGTCTTGAACGCTGATACAAACCCATGGACATTAAAACTGCTACGTGAACTTACTAAAAAAGTTATGAGCCTTCAAAGTTGGCAAAAAACGTTACTGAGGCAAGCTTACCTGGTGGAATCACAGTCGCCGTGGCTCTGCGCCAAAAACGAGTCTCATATTCGTAATCAGGGCACCCATTACCCTTATAGAACAAGTTCCAGGCAAAAAGCAACCGTGTTTCCACATAGGTTGCACCTCATCATTAGCGTTCTTTTGCAACTTTTAAGGCTCACAACTTTCTTAGGAAGTTCACGTAGCAGTTTTAGTGTCCATATTTGTAATCAGCGTTCAAGACTCTATCGATGTGCCTAGGTCTCCTTTCAAAGTTCCATGGGAAGTTTTGAAACATTCCCTGGTAGGACGTTTAGAACCAATATTTATGTGTATTATAGCTTGAAACCCTTGAACATATTGATAAGAGAATGACGTCTTTCGCCAAGGCTGAGCTGGTTGTGTTGAGCGGAGCCGGCCATAATCATCGCAGATCTAAAAAAACGCATTTGGTATTTCTGTGTTGCGCTTTTTTCGGGACCCTCTCCATTAGTTTCTGCTCGAATCACAGCTACCGCCCTTCTGTGACCTAAAAAAGAGAATTATGGCTAAAAAAACTGAAGCAACACCTGTGCACGAGCTCCCGCAATTGAGCGGCTTTAAGTTCCCGATCCAGCCTTCGTGTTGTGATCACGTGTGCCAGATAAGTGTAGAGTATGAAACCAATAACAGATCCCAAAATCAGAAAGGACATCACTTGCGAACTGGCGTTCATGCTGAAATGATTCCAACATTATTCAATATGTTTTTGATCTATTCACTTATAGATACTGTGAGGACAGTACCTCGAGACTATTTCAAAGTGACAACCATAAAATCTTACCGTTTTGACCGTCCTTTAGGGTAATTTTTACCGAAATCTGGATGATGTGGCGATTCCAGCGACCAGATGATCATTTTAGTTTGGTGGTTGTCACGCCAGTCATTCTGCCGTAGTGATATGAATATCGAGGGATCGATGAGATTCTGGAAGGATGGTGTTGATTATTACGTGATTACAGGGGTGGCCAAAAAAGGCACTTTGCCCATGGCGCACATCATCGAACTTTTCGTCGCACAGGGTGCCGGTGTTAATGAACGTTTCACGGTGACATATTCCTAAGGTGTTTCCCCGTAAACAGAAGCAGGCCATCCTTCACTGTCCCACGTCATCAAGAATACGAAGGTCGCCGTCGGGTCGTCTTAGTTAACGAGGCCTTACCGTATCGGCACGGTCTGGAGCTTCCACACAAATTTCTTGAATGATTGACTGTTGAATAGCTTTAGAGACATTAGCTGTGACTATGCAAAACCGCTTTTGACCAGCGTTTCAGGGACGTCGTAATGGTCTATGGTACCTCGACGACCTCGTTGAGCTCGTACCGTGAACCATGTTTCCGTGGGAAAATCTTCTGATGTCGTCGGTGTAGAAGGCTGTCATGTAATTTGATAGATTAGAATGTGCTCTTTAATACCAAGTTGGGACCAGACGATTCAATTTTAGCAAAATGCGATTGATGCTGCCTGAGATGTGGGGTAAAGCGTCTTTTTTTAGCCACCCCTGTAATACAGGAGGGGGGGGGGCAAAAAAAGAGTCACTCTCACTCACATTCAAAACAGGATTAATTACACTTTGCCAAAACCAAACCGAATGAGCTCAATTGCATATTGAAGAGCACATTCTATTCTATCAAAAAATTACATAGGGCCTTTCTACACGACGACATCAGAAGATTTTCCTACGGAAACATGGTTCGCGGTGCGAGCACAACGATTCGTCGAGAAACCATAGACGATTACGGAAGTCTCGCAACGCTGGCAAAGCTTTTGCATAGTCAGAGCTTAGTCTAAGAAGCATTCACCAGTTATCCGATTTTGAAGAAATTATGTAGCAGCTTCAGAATGGAGCGATTATTGTAGGCCTCCTTGAGCTCGACGGTGATGACAGATGACGTCATATTCTGGAGACGGTGAACGCAGCGAAGGTGGGCCTGATTCTGCTTATGGGGGACATCTAAGGAAATTTCGCCGTATAACTCCCAATAACAGCGGCATCCTTTGCGACGAAAAGTTTGATGATATGCGCCATAGGCAAAGTGACTCTTTTTTTTTGGCCCCCCCCTGTATATGAAAAGGTACGGTTCTTAACAAGACCTTCGTATACTTGCTATTTTTGCAGTGTCTTATTGTTTACCCTAGCATTTCTGTGAGTCCCATTTGATAATCATCAACTGACGACTCTGTCAAAGACACATACCGGGTTCAGGTGCGGTCACTCCGCCTGAAAGAAATTAGAGGTGCAACGTTCGTCAGCGGAAAAAATTGAGTGGAACCGCCGAGAACACCTTGACATGATCCAGACAGTCGTAACATTTGCAACGGAAAGCCGCTGTTCGCTCACGCTCAACGGAACGAACATCACCGAATGCTCCAGCTACGTGTACCTAGGTCGGGAAATCAATATGATGAACGATCTAGCTCCAGAGCTGAGCAGGAGGAAACGAGCGGCTTGGGGAGCGTACAAGAACATCGAGGGAGTAGTGAAGAAGACGAAGAACATCCGGCTCCGTGCCCACCTCTTCGATTCCGCTGTCCTTCCTGCCTTGAAGGCAAAACAGGATTAGCCAAGACATATCACCTGTATCACCTGTCGTCCCGTTGATCATCGAATTGCTCGAGCGGGCGCCAGCAACGTCTCCATTCGTCCCTGTCGCGTGAGTGGTCCAGTGGATCCTCCTCGCTCGAGGGACACGTCCTTCATTCCTTTCGTTCAGAGCTTTCGTGAAGAAGTCTGACCATCGGGCCGGCGGTCGTCCAGGTGTTCGTTTGACGTCCCGAGGGATCCAGTCGGTAACCGCTCTGGTCCAACGGTCATCGCAAAATCGCATGACGTGTCCGGCCCACCTTATCTTCGATTCCTTGGCGAAAACGGCAGCGTCCCTGATCTTCGATCGTTGGCGTAGTTCGGAACTCCGGATTCCCCTCTGCACTTGCGTGTATAGGGTTACTCCTAGCATCGTCCTCTCGACAGCGCGTTGGATAACGCTGACCGCATGCTCGTCCTGCCTGCGCAGAGTCCAAGTCTCTGAGTCGTAGGTTAAAGGCAAACCCCGGAATGAAACTGGCGTATAACAGCGCGCCATAGTGATGGAGAAATTGCGAATGAACTAAAAGTGGAAAAGAACGCAAGAGAAGCCATTGGAAACGCTAAAATTAAGGCGAAAGCGATCAAAAGCGCGCCCATCTCCACATCAATGGCGGGTGGGTGGGAAGCGTTGCAATAAGGGCCGATGGTTGCAGCACCTTCAACGATTAGCGCCCTAACCGCGCATTTTGTGCGACGGGCGTGGTACGTTTTCTGTAGGGAAGGACACTACAAGTTCCCTCGCAGTACCTTTTTAATAAATCGTATCCTGAATAACATGGCTCTTTTTCTTTCTTAAAACATCGACGACAACGCGGGATCTGTACGTCCCACACTCTCGCTTAGAAGGATCGTTTTACCTAATCTATGCCTCGACCTCCACCTTCCAGAGTTGTTCATATGCATTATTGGCTGCAGAAAATAGCACACTTTCTATTAATAATGAAGTTATTGGAAATAATCACTATTGATGGACCAAAATGGTAGGTGTACGCGCACAAAACGTGGTCGCCACTGCGTTAGTTTGAACTCGAAGAAAGCAACCAAGGTGGGCATGACTTGACTATTGTTTATCTCACCTCTCTGCAGCCTAGAGAACATGTTTAGCACTTGCTAAATAAAGTTCTGATGTGAGAACCAAAAAAGTGGCACGAACTTTTAGGCCACCCTAATAATGGAGAGCCGTACGTGGATTCTCATCACATAGAGCCATTGAAGTGTAAGAGGGAGATTATAAACCGCCGCTAAAGGAGAGATCGGAAGAAGAGGCAGCGCCCCTTATAAATCCCACGCTCTACAGCACAAAGAACAACAATTCCTCGACACAGTGACCTACCGTGACGTTCGTCCTATTCTTTTCAATAGCTGTGATAGCCTCAATGAGAGTTTCATTGGTGGTAGTATCGAACAGTTGTGCTGAATCATTGACAGCATTGGGTAAGTGAAGAATTGGACGCGTCGACACTCCAAGAAGAGATATAAGCAACCAAATAAGCATTCAACATCAGATTCACCTGTAATGTAATCTTGTAGAATTTAGATCAACTTACAGAGATTCGAGAGAGTAAAGTGTATGGCGCGAGCTAGTAATATAATAGGGTGAAACTGTTTCAGAGACATAACTCGGGCAGAGTCTGAACGAACGATTTCTTTCGGTCTGTAGACTACTACAGGGCGGTCACAGTGTTGCACTCCCGTGCATGGAAATGGCCTAATAAGAGCGCAGAGCATTGCAAAGACAGCTTCAACAGCTTCACTTTTCCCCGTCCACAGCACACTGTTGCTTGGCGCCCTCCCATCTGTTACGCTCTCTCGTCTCATACTCTCCTCTCCGCGCTCAGTCTCTCACTACCTCGATACAAGAGTAAGCAAGCCCTTAACTCAGCGTTCCCGACGGAAACCTTTTCCTTTTTTCCTCTACTGCCGACCCATTTCGCATCAAGACTTTCATATTCGTGCACAAGACGCACCAGCTCGTAGGAACATGCCTCCAAACAGCACCAAAAGAAAACATGGATAGGGTAAAGCAAGAAAAATTCTCATGTAAAGCGGAGAAATTACTTAACACTGGCTACAATGCTATCCAATGCCCCGCGACACCACTTCAATTGGTTTGTGAAGATTCCAGGTTTCTAACGAGAGTACAGGGGGGGGCAAAAAAGTCACTTCCCTCCACATTCAAAACGGAATTAATTACGCGTTGCGAAACCAAACCAAATGAGCCAACTGAATATTAAAGAGCACATTCTAATCTATCAAAATTACATAACAGCCTTCTACACCGACGACATCAGAAGATTTTCCCACGGAAACATGGTTCACGGTACGAGCTCAACGAGGTCGTCGAGGTACCATAGACCATTACGACGTCCCTGAAACGCTGGTCAAAAGCGGTCTTGCACAGTCACAGCTAGTGTCTCTGGGAAGCTATTCACCAGTTAATGAAGAAATTATGTAGCAGCTTCAGGCCGGAGCGATTACGGTAAGCCTCGTTGAGCTCGACGGTGACGGCAGATGACGTCATATTCTGAAGACGGTGAGGGCAGTGAAGGAGGGCCTGCTTCTGCTTTGGGAGGACTAACCTAAGGAATATTCTGCCGTAAAACATTCACCAACAACGGCACCTTGCGCCAAAAAATTCGATGGCGTCCACCATGGGCGAAGTGACTATTTTTTCGCCCCCCCCCCCCGTCCTGTATGTTAAGCAGAAATGCATTGTAACATTTATGGTGTTCGTCGTCTGAGCCCACCCTCCAGCACGTTGACGACAGGCTGACAGCATCTTGGTACCCATTTTTCCGCACCTGTCCGACTTCTTCCGAAATTTTTTATTACTATTATTTAGACAATACATCATCATGCCTGTAAACGGTGTGGTCCATGAAGCGGTTGAATATGCTTTAGTTAAGCGAAGGTTTTCTGAGCCTTACTAAATTTTCCGTTTAGTTCAATCTTCGAC